CCCACATCTTAGTGTCATCAGCAAACTTGGACAATGTGCTTTCAACCCCCTTGTCCAAATCGTTGATGAAGATGTTAAACAGTGCGGGCCTGAGGACTGAGCCCTGGGGGACCCCACTGCTCACAACTCGCCAAGTTGCCCTGGGGGACCCCACTGCTCACAACTTGCCAACTCGCCAACAACCCATCCACCACTACTCTCTGGGTGCGCCTCGTCAGCCTATTTTTTACCCATCCAACTGTGTAGGCATCAATGCCACAGTCACTTAATTTATTAATGAGAATGGGGTGAGAGACAGTGTCAAAGGCCTTCTTAGAGTCTAGAAAGACTATATCCACGGCGACACCTAAACCATAAGGATTTAGTTACTTGGTCATAAAAGGCAATCAGGTTGGTCAGGCAGGACCTGCCTTTGATGAACCCATGCTGGTTGCCCCTGAGCATGATCTCCCCTGCTGGCCCCCCACAGATGTGCTCCTTGATGATTTTCTCCAAGATCTTCCTGAGGACCGAGGTGAGGATTATGGACCTATAGTTACCTGGGTCCTCCTTCCTCCCTTTCTTAAAAATGGGGACCATATTAGCTAGTTTCCAATCCCCCGGCACCTGGCCAGATGACCATGAATGCTCATACAAGGGCTCCACGATGACCCCTGCAAGCTCCCTGAACACCCTTGGGTGGAGGGCCTCTGGACCTGCAGATTTAAAAATGTCCAGCCCTTTGAGAAGATCCCTAACTACATCTGCGCTGACCCACGGCCTGACAGAGCTATCCCCGAGATTGTCCCTAACTCTGGTAGGAGGGATGTCCCAGTCCCTGTTCAAGAAGACAGAGGCAAAAAAAACTGTTAAAAATATCGGCTTTCTCATCTGGCGTAGCCCCAAGGTTACCACTTGAGTCTTGCAGGGGCCCTACATTGCCTGGTGACCTCTTCTTGCTCCCAATGTACTTGAAAAAGGACTTTTTGTGTCCTTAATCCTGGACACTAACCTGAGTTCCATCTCTGCCTTGGCCTTCCTAATAGCCCTTCTACACTCACGGGCCAAGGAGGACTACTCCTCCTTGGTGATAGCTCCTCCCTTCCACTGGTTGTACGCC